ATTTCCATCAGTGATAAAATGTATGAATAAATTATAGCACACTTATACAATAGAATACTATAAAACAATCAAAATGAACCAACTAGAGAGACATGTTTACAAAGAAGATAAATAACAAGGAAACTGAACAAAGTTAACTACCTAGATATGAGAGATACTAAGATGGAAAAAAGATTCCAGTATAATTCCATTTATATAAAATATACAAAAATATATTTTTAATGAATTGCAATTTATTACCTTGTTGTCAAAATTCTAAAGTGAGACATATGAGTGACTATCATAACAATTGGGATAGTAGGGATGGAGGAAACAAAAGGGAAATGATATCAACAGGAAGGCCCACATGGGGAGTGTCTGGATTGCTGGCAAATTATACTTTATGACGAAGACGTGGTAACATGAGTCTTAATGCTATATTTTTTTCTTTACTGTACACTTAGGTTTTATTACTTTATATATATGTTACACATTAATGAAAATACTTAAAAAGTAGAAACATATAATAAATGAATGCATACAAAATAGACTGAAAAAACATATTCTTATAGACATTGCAATTAGAGTTTTTGCTGGATAAAGAAGAATAGAGCATTATGATAGTAAGAAATCCAAGATAGAATTTTAAACTTTTCTTTAAATTAATTTAAAAAGAAAGAGATAAGCAGGAAGTCTACGTCCACACTCTTAATGTTATTTTTACTTGGAAACATCAGATTTTGAGCATCTGTATTTTACCAGACACCTTTTTCTCTTATTTCCTATTTAATTATTTATGATAACAACATTTCAAAATGGCAGAAATTAGTGAATTTCCAATAAATTATAGTAATACAGACATTAGATATACAGGACAATTTCTCTAAATTTATCCCTAAATGAAATAATTCTACACATATTTTTACCATTCAAAGATTATAACACCATGCATATGTACACATGTGTGAGGAAAAATATTTTGATACTACAAATTTTTTGAATATTAGAGAAAAATTAGTAGAAAGATAATTTTGTTAAGGCATAAAACATATGTAGTGTAAATACTTTGACTGCTATAATAAAATCACCCAGATTTTGTGACAGAAGCTGAGAATGTAAATAAGCAGTCAAGAGAATTTAACTTGGTAATGATGCTATTAAAAGATGAAATGCAGTTTATACACTCTATAAGTGCACAGAGTATTTGTTTAAGTTCATATGAAAGTGGAAAAAATTAAACAGCCAAAAAGAGAGTATTCTTTGCTAGAGGTCACTTTTGCCATAATTTTTAGAATGTGAGTCTCAAGTAAATCATTGGATATATGTTGGTTTTATGTTTTTCTTGATGAAATACTATGTGAGGGCATTTTTCTAGCCCTGATTCTGAGAATAATATAAGAATCATGCCAAACACTGAGGCTCATGCCTGTAATCCAAGCGCTTTGGAAGTCGAGGCTGGTGGATCACCTGAAGTCAAGAGTTCTAGACCAGCCTGGCCAACATAGTGAAACCCACTGTCTACTAAAAATAGAAAAATTAGCTGGGCACAGTTGTGGGCACCTGTAATCCCAGCTACTTGGGAGGCTGAGGCAGGAGAATCAATTGAACCTGGGAGGTGTGGTTGCAGTTAGCCAAGATTACACCATTTCACTGCAGCCTGGGTGACAAGAGTGAAACTCCATCTGAAAAAAAAAAAAAAGTAAAGCCATGAGTAAGAATAATAGTGTTCCCTGACGACCCTTATCTCTAGTACTTTGAAAAGAAGACCCAAATCACATTTATTAAATAACATTCTCCCTTTTAGCTGACATCATCATCATTATTATCATCATCTACATTGACATGTATCTTAGTAAATGATTTATTTCTGAAATATTTACATACATAATTTGGATAACGTCTACATAATTTCTAAGAGATGTCATTATGGGAAAGTTATATTAGTAAACAGCAAAGTTCAAGTCAAGCTGAATACTTTAGATTTAGAAAGTTAGGTATAGTGCAGTTTAAAATACTTTGCTTAAGAAAACAATTATAGATGATATTAAACTAATCCAAGGAACACTATAAAAAGGATTTTGATTTTAGTATAAATAAAATCACTTAATAAGAAAAATAAATAAACCATTTCATGATCAAGCTCTTATTTCTAAAGAGAGGATTTTAGGCCTAAATAAATCAAACAGAAGTAAGCCCTCCCTCATATCTTCTCTATGTCATTTGGATAATGATGGAATTCAAAGGCACAGGCAACTGTTTCTACAACATAAGCAAAGTGAAAATTAATTCATGGAATACAATGATGTAGCTGTTGTTGATGAACTATATTTTATCTATTGCAATGATGTCCTAAGATTCAGTGCCGCTCATTGAGTTCCTCTGTAAGCACAGTTTATGGTGAGGACCCAGCAAAAGACAAGCTACTGTCTCCAGAAAGCTACTCACATCACCTTCATTTCCAGTTTCTTTCAAATTGAAGGTAATTTCTAACACAAAGCTTTTATTCTAGTCTCTGACCAAAGTGTTAGGAAAAGAATAAAATTGTTACCATTTGCGTTTCTAACACACTGAAACAGAAAACAAAAAATCCAAAAAACCAAAAACACTTTAAAAAGAACATGGTGGTAAGAGTAGCTTTTTTCAGTTTCCCCATGGAAAATGATTTGTGGAAGGAGAATAAAAGATTATTCTGAACACAAAAGCAATAAGACTGAAAACATGAATTATAAATATTGAGAATCCAATAGACAGAGTTAACCAGTTAGTTGCAGTAGAAAAGAGAATTAGTGAATTGGAAGATAGCTACACAGAATGAAACATAGAGAGAAAGAGATGGAAAATACAAGGACAGAGGGTAACACATTGATGCTACCATCAGAACACCTAACGTACTGCTGGAGTTCTGTCAGATTAGAGGAGAGAAAATTGTGCAAAAGAAATATTGCAAGGATTTTTCCAAAAGTGATAAAATGTATCCCTCCATATATTTTCTGTAATCTCCAACTTCAGGCATGATAACTAAAACCAAATTAACAAAAAATAATAAAGGGTACCAAAGAACAATAGAAAATCTGAAAAGTAGATAGAGGTAGAAGATAGAGTATGTTGAAAAGAACTGCATTCTAAATACAACCTGACCTGATTTTAACAGAAAATATGGAAGCAGGAATTCAAAGGAATCATGTCTTCTGTGCATTTCCAAAGAGTAGTAGACCTTCATAAACAGAAATTGAAAATGCTATTTTTCTGATACAACAAAAATTACTGAAAATACAAAGTTCAACATGCAACGAGCAATAAAAATTAATGACAATGAAAAATAAGTGTGTAATTCTAAATAAATCATGACTATATAAAAGAATAGTGTCTTGTTGGATTAAATGTAAAATTGATAAGATATATGCAAATAGCAATAAACAGACTGGGGATAAAGGTGACAGGAATAAATTTAGTCAAACATGTTTTGGGATTTTCTATGACTGTGAGATAATCAAGGACCTGGTAGTCCTATACCCAGCTGTATATATGCAAAGGAATTGTAGCAAATGATATGTGAAAGAATGTTCATTGTGGCATTATTCTACTAGCTCAAAAAATAAGCTGCCCATATGTACATCAAATAAGGATGGATACATAATTACAGTAAAATCATAAATTGGAAAAATCTAGAGAAGTGAAAAGAAATGAATCACATGTACATGCACCTATGTGATGAAATTTCAGATACATAATGTTGAGCCCAGGAAGCCATGAATAAAAACATATAGGATCTCACCTCTACACAGTTCAAAGCAGGCCAAACCAAGCTGTTGAATTTAGGGTTGCATACCTAGTTGGTAAAGTATAAAGAAAATTTTAAAAAATGATCATCCTAAATTATAGATGTTGCTTATCACAGGAGGTGTGAAGAAAGTTGTAGCGGATTGGAAAGTGGCATTGAGGTAAACCTAGGTTCTTAGCAGTGTCCATGTCTTGTCCTACATAATGGTTACATGAGTGTTTATGACACATTGCTATGTTTTCCATTTTTGTTTTGGCCCATTTCTAAGTGCACAGTCTAGTTATAATATAAAAATTATTAATGAGGAGAAGTGTTCCATGAAAATTATTATTACTCTCTGCTCATTATATACTGAAGGGAAAAATCCACTATTTGTATACTTTCATGTATAACTCTAAAAGATTTTAAGTAGAAGTGTTCTGATTTTGTTGCAACTTTTGGAAATTTGACATGATGGTAACTGCCAATCCCAGATTTTTCAATAGGTTTTTCTTTTAGGTTTAATTATCCACTTCATATAACAAAACTTTGACATTTTCATCTCACACCAGTTAGAATGGCAATCATTAAAAAGTCAGGAAACAACAGGTGCTGGAGAGGTTGTGGAGAAATAGGAACACTTTTACACTGTTGGTTCAACCATTATGGAAAAAAGTATGGCGATTCCTCAAGGATCTAGAACTAGAAGTACCATATGACCCAGCCATCCCATTACTGGGTATATACCCAAAGGATTATAAAGCATGCTGCTATAAAGACACATGCACATGTATGTTCATTGTGGCACTATTCACAATAGCAAAGGCTTGGAATCAACCCAAATGTCCATCACTGACAGACTGGATTAAAAAATGTGGCACATATACACCATGGAATACTATGCAGCCATAAAAAACGATGAGTTTGTATCCTTTGTAGGGGCATGGATACAGCTGGAAACCATCATTCTCAGCAAACTATCGCAAGAACAGAAAACCAAACACCACATGTTCTCGCTTATTGGTGGGAATTGAACAATGAGATCACTTGGACACAGGAAAGGGAGCATCACACACTGGGGCCTATTGTGGGGAGGGGAGAGGAGGAAGGGATAGCATTAGGAGATATACCTAATGTAAATGACGAGTTAATGGGTGCAGCACACAAACATGGCACATGTATACATATGTAACAAACCTGCACGTTGTGCACATGTACCTTAGAACTTAAAGTATAATAATAATAATAATGATAATAATAAAATGTTGGTTTGGTGATACTTTTGTGGCCCTTGGTATTTTTGATTTGTAATCTTGCTCTGGTTACCCTGGATGAGAGTGTGTGGACAAAAAAATATGAAGGGTATTTGTCTTGGATGATCAAATTGAGGAATGCAATACACCTTTCAAACATGGCTGTACCCACGCTAGCCAACTTCACACCCTTCATTCTGACGCTAATATCTTTTCTGCTGTTAATCTGTTCTCTGTGTAAACATCTCAAAAATATGCAGCTCCATGGCAAAGGATCTCAAGATCTCAGCACCAGGGTCCACATAAACAGTGATCTCCTTCCTCATGTTATTTGGCATTTAATTTCTGTCTGATCACATCAACTTGGAATCCTAGGACACAGCAGAGCAAACTTGTATTCCTGCTTTGCCAAACTCTTGCAATCATGTATCCTTCATTCTACTCATTAGTCCTGATTCTGGGTAGTAGAAATCCAAAACAGACCTTTCTTTTCATTTTGTGGCAGGTGACATGCTGAGTGAAATAATAGAAACCCTCAACTCCATAGATTCACAGGGGCAGCATCGTGTGTCTTCTAGCAGAAAACAAACTGATGGTATCTGGAATATTTTATGTTTCCATTGGTTTTTCCATAGTTTATGTATTTGAGTAATTTCAAAACAGATACCTAGAAAAGTCATATATATATGTGTGTGTGTGTGTGTGTATGTGTTTGCATGTGTATGAATAACAATATTGACCATAAACTATGAAGCTGAGTATATTTCACATATATATGTATGTGTGTTTTATGATAGTTCATCATGTGATATTTCATGTGAACAATTTATTGTCTCTACTTACAATTAAGAACTTACAACTTTTATCAGGATGTCATTTCTCTTTTCCGTTTTAATTTGTACCTCATATATGTACTTAACTATCATTGTTTGAACCTCTAATTTTTTGAATGGTAAAAACATTCAATTCTAAATCAATGATGAGAATGTATCTTTGGGACAGGTTTTATTTTATTATGAATTGTTATTTTATGTTTCATAGAAAGCAAATAGAATTTTTTTAGATAATGATGCACACTATATAATTTGAGTGACAAACATACGTAGAGTAAATTTTGTATACGTATACCAAAAACAGTACTAAAGTATACTAGGTTTATAGCAGTATGTGAATAGCTTAGAAAAAAACACATTTCTGTAATAGAAATGAAGAAACATGATCATGATAATTTCAGTGCTGTTGTAATTTTTTGTGTGTAGTTAGAAAAGTCATTTCTTTCACTTTTTGAATTAAAGAAAACTTTTTTTGAAGTTGACACCTGATGTCAAGTATGTCAATTTATTTTGCTTAGACACCTCTGAGCCCCTGAATTTTCAGTGTTCTCTTTTATCTCCCATTCTTAATATTCCTCAAAAAAATTCAAATATTCCCTCTCTTTAAAAAAATCTCAATTTAAACAGGGTATAGAAACTATGGATCATAATTGAATGAAACGTTCTGCAAATGTTAAAAATCGTCTGTCAAATCTATATATTGATAACAGGAAATGTATTAATGATATGTTTTATTAGGGGTAGGCTGTGAGCTGAGGCTCCTCAGATATCTCTTTCTATTTTTATTTTGTTTTCCCCCATAGTTTCTCCAGCATTTGGCTCAAGGCGCCAAGGGCACATGTGACAAGAACGCGTCGGCTTTTTAAACCTTGGAAGTTCTTCTGTGTCAGTTCTGAGATGATATATTAAAACAAATCATGAAGGCCCGTTTCGAAGGGTAGGGGAATAAGCCTCCATCTATTCATGTGAGGTATGTCGAAGCACTTGGACATGTTTTCAAACTACCAACTTTGATAATTCAGAACTGTGCTCCCTTTTCCAACTTCGTCCTGATACAAATGTATGATCTCTGGACGCTGCCAATATTCTCCTCAATTCCATCATGAACCTTTCTCCTTAATTCAGAATCTGTAGACTAAGCTGTAAAACCAATGACTGTCAATGTATTCTATAAGAAATAGTTGGCCAAAAAAAGAGAAAAACATAATAAGTAGTAAAAATATATACAAAACATTTTTGCTTACACTAACGATCAAATAACACCCATAGGACCAAGCCTCCCACAGATACTTTCTATACATTCTGGATAAAATATTTAAAAACACAGCCATCCATAGGCAATGGAGAATGAACAAAAGAGGCAGATACTGGAGAGTGGTCGGCACTTGGAAGAAGGGAATAGCAAGGAGTGAGTTTCCTGATTTTATAGCTGGTCCTAGTGTACACCATGCAGAGGACTAAAACATCAGTAGAAAAGCTGTAGCCTTACTGGGTTGAAGTAACAGAAGACTGAGTTTGGGATAACACGAGCAGCAGGAGGTCAGGAGAAAATCTGAGAAAGGAGAACGGCCAGAAAAGGGGAGCTCTAACTACTGAATATAAACTATCCAAAGCTTTGGCTGGTCCCTACACTATGCATATATAGGGCAGACTTCATGTAGCCCAGCTAAAATAATAAAATTGAGATTTCAGTTATCATCAAGCACAGTGAAGACAGAGATAGCAACAAAACACATTACTTTAGGCAAAGATAGCCTTTTCTTGAAAACCCAAACCACATTCCATTACCTTACATAACAGTCATATTCCTTGTCCATTCTTGTTTCTACCATGGTTTTAACTCCTACTTTTTTTGTTGTCTGGTGTGACTCTGCTGGCAGCCATTTCACAGTGAGGTGAGAGAGGCAGAATGGTGGTCATTAGATACGTGCACTTGGCTCCCAGCATTTTTGCAGAAGGGCTACAAGGGGGAAACCACAGCCAACATTAGTCCACGGAAGAGAGAGAGGAGGGAGAATGTTTCTGCTCAGCTGTCATTTGACTTCTATATCCTATTGGCCAGGGTTTACCTGAGGCGGAACTACCATCTCTGTTGTTCTGTCTTACATCATCTAGTCCCCTGGTGGAGGTTTTGAAAGTCAGACCTCATGCCCACAGTGTGGTGATGCATTCAAGTTCCAAACGGAAGGTTGATCTGGTTCAGGCAAGGCGTTGATGAGGGGAATGGGAGATAGTGAAGGGAATCTAAGAAAGCACATGTCTGTGTCCAGTGCAGTCCGATCCTTTTGTTACTCAGATGTGCTCATGCTCTCCAGTCACGGCTGGCTTTAGGAGCACATGATTTGCAGAGTTGCACAGAGTTTTGTGCCCAGAGGGGCTTGTGCTTAGATGAACTCTGTGCTTGGATTAATGTTCTACACTTGCTGCTTTTTTTTTTTTTTTTTTTTTTTTTTTTTTTTTTTTTTTTTTTTTTGTCAGGCAGAGGATACTCCTCCGTTGAAGAGGGAATGGTCTTGCATTAATTCCATAGGGATTTGCTCTCCCCTCTCCTACAGGCTTGTCAGAGACGTGAACAGAGTCCTATAATGCCCACAATGCATGCCGCTGGATCATCTGGCACAGTGGCCAGAGCAGCTTGGACCAGAGACAATATCTGCTGTAGAGCCCTCTTTTGTTCTGGCTTCCGCTTGAAACCAGTAGCCTTTGGAAGCTTCGTTAATGAGTCAGAGCAATATTCTCAAATGTGGAATATGTTGTCTCCAAAATCCCAATAGGCCCCCAAAACATTGTATCTCTTTTGCAGCCATAGGAAATATAGAGAGCAACATGCCAATTACTTTTTAAAAGATTGTTTCAACATGTGGTCTAGGAACGCTGAAAACCTTAAAACATCTCCTATGTTGTTGGTCCCTGAATCTTCTCATATCCCTTTTCTTCTGGTATTTTACTTCCGCTCAATGTTATAGTATTTTACAATATTAAGAAACTTGCCCCTTCCTGTTTACTGTACCAACTAATGTATTATTATTATTTGAGACAGGGTCTCATTCTGTCCCTGAGGCTCGAGTGCAGTGGCAAGATCACAGCTCATTACAGCCTCAACCTTCTGCGCTCAAGTAATTCTCCCGCCTCGGCATTGCTAGCAGCTGGGACTGCAGGGGCGCATCACCACGTCTGGCTAATTTTCTTATTTTTTGTAGGGCTGGGATTTCACCATGTTACCCAGGCTGGTCTAAAACTCCTGGGCTCAAGTGATTTGCCCATGTCAGCCTCCTAAAGTGATGGAATTACAATCATGTGCCAGAGGGCCCGGTCTCTAATATTATTAATATATTAAATTAGCACGATGTTTAAATATACATATAAATTAAACAGAGAACAGAATTGACATAGCCCTGACATAAAACAGTGAAGCAGTGCTATTATTCTTACAATACAAGTCAAATTTTTTGATTTTCCCTCTAATGGGTGTAGATTAATAAACATTCACAAAATCACGAACCCTGTAAAAAGTGCCAGAAGCTCTGCTCTGCTCCATGAAAATAGCACCTCCTGGAAAGCATTTGTAAGTGCTGATTTAAGTTTATGGTAGTCTGCATTCATTCTATAACCCATCTGGTTTCGGTAGAGGCCAGATAGGTTAAGTGAATCCGGTTACAGAAAGGACTACCATCCCTTGTAACTTGCAAGTGTTTTGTCATGGCAGTGACCAATTCCATTCCTTAAGGAATGTGGTTATTACATTTTATATATTGTGTTGCCACCAGAGGAGAATTTCAGAGGCTTCCCCTTGGTCCTTCTATAATAATGTTCCTTACTCTACAGTTCATGAAGAATGTGAGAGTTCTGCCAGCTGCCATGCATATCCATTTCAATTACACATTCAGGAAGAAGAAGTAACTACAAACTGATTAGATCCACCTTGGAATGGACATGAGCCGAAGCTCTAGGTAGCATCTGACCTTCAAAAACTCACACTTCAGGCTGGAGGTGATGGCCCATGTCTGTAGCCCTACTACTTTGGGAGACCAGGTGAGAGGATCCCTTGACAGCAGGAGTTCCCTTTGCAACATGTGGAAACTCCATATCCACAAAAAATTGGAAAATTAGTTGGCGTGGTGGTGCATGCTTATAGTTCCAAATACTTGGGAAGCTGAGGCAGGAAGATTGCTTGAGCCCAGGCATTCAAGGCTGTAGTGGGCTATGATCCTGCCACTGTACTCCAGCTTGGGTAACAGAGAGACTCTGTCTAAGAAGAAGAAGAAAAAAAAAGAATTAAAAGTTCTTACTAGTGTCTTAAATATCAAGTAAAACAGGTTCAAATCAATATTTAACAATATTTGGTTCCTGCCTATAGCAAACAGGTAAAATTGAAAGTAGTTGTACAAATAGTATATTAACTCCTAAGAAAACAAGCCAAAGACAGTTTTATTATCATCTCCTTTTGTTGTTGTTGTTGTTGTTTTGAGACAGAGTCTTGCTCTGTCTCCCAGGCTGGAGTGCAGTAGTGTAATCTTGACTAACTACCAACTGCAACTCCTGGGTTCAAATGATTCTCTTGCTGCAGCGATCTGAGTACCTGGGATTATAGGCATGCACCACCACACCTGGCTAATTTTTGCATTTCTAGTTGATACAGGTTTTCACCATGTTGGCCATGCTGGTCTTGAACTCATAATCTCAG